GAAAGAAAGGAACAATTCCTAGTTGCTGGAATTTCAACAACAGAAAACGACATTGAGATTGCAATGGATGTCAAATCAGTATTAGCTTAGGGTTTTACCCCATTGTCGCCTGAAAAGGCGCATAGGCCCTGTCCCCCCCCCCCCACGCACCCACACACGGTAACCCACGTTAGACTTAATTTTGATCAGGCTGACTGAAACTTAATGTTGTCATTTTTAATTAATCCGGGCCTCATTGGCCATAAGTTTAATATCGGATTTCGGAGTTACAAAAAAGGCATAGTCAAGTAGCTCCCTTTTCAAACTCATCAATACTTCCAAAATGTACCTGTTATTTCAAACAGGTTTGTATAGGTAGTTCAGTAACGCCTCCTGGGGGGATGAGGGCATAAAAACCAGACCCCTCCCCCCCAAAAAAGGGAATTCGGCAAACACGACTGAAAAATAGGAAAATGTCCAAGTGATCATAATCTCACAAAACATGCAGTTTTACTTTTTAGTTCCTGAATGTCACACACACAAGACTGGACACCTATGCGATACGTAACACAAAACTTGAGGGCGCTATTTCAAATTAATGTGGGAGAAGCACAGTCGTAATAGGACGCATTTCACCAAATGGTTGGAATTCTGCGCGCAAGCTCATAAGTAATTTGGGATCACTCGGGTTTTTTACAATAAGACATGCCATGATCAGGAGGGATCATAGAAACATTTCTATAAATCCCGAATTTTGGACTGGTAGTTTCCAGGTCCGGATACTTCTTGTACAAAAAGCCCCAAAATTGCGGGCCCATTTTGGATAGAGGCGGGCGGCTACCTTCAGAGTTGAGGGCATAGTCTTACTATTATTTTAGGAGTATCTTTGGGGAAAGGCGAATAGAAAACTTTTTTCGCGGCCAACCCCCATCACATTGAAACGAAAAGTGATCTTCTGGCCCGATGTTGAATTTCCGGTGACAAAAATGGAAATAAAATTCATTCATATACTAATCAGCTTAAAAAGTTGAGCTCACACCCTGACTTGACTTGATTTCCGGTAATTCACTGCTGCGTACACCTCAACCATAATTGTTTTCAAATTTATCCATTCCAGGTGCAGAACTCAGTTTTTCTTCAAACTCTGACGATTGGATGGAGCACGAAATCCTCAACCAGATTTTGAAAAACTCCATTTTGAATTAAAAGTAGACGCAACGAAATTCGCAACGCTTGTCATTTACCCTCCTGAAAATACGCATACGCGGGTCACGGTCGCGTTTTGGACGCAATGTCATATCCAGTCTATATACTGGAGATCAATGCATGTAACCCTATGTGCAGTGCACGTGTACAGTGGGCATGGTTAAAACTGAAGTGACGTCATACTTACGAACCGGATTAGGATAAGGCGGACTTTTCAGAGACAATCCTGGACAAATCTCGTTGGACCATGCCTCCCCCCTCGCCCCCTGTCAATGTTGCTTCTCATTGGGTAAGTTTGGCCGAATCTTGGTCCAATAAAATAGTTGGAACGCCTTGTGGGAAGCGCGTTGCAAAGATCCCCCTCTCCCCCATTCAATGTTGCGTTCATTTATTGGACAAAGATTCTGCCCAACTTACCCAATGAGAAGCAACATTGACAGGGGGTGAGGGGAAGGCATTGTTCCAACGAGATTTGTCCAGGATTGTCTCTAAAAAGTCCGCCTTATTCTAATCCGGTTCGTAAGTATGACGTCACTTCAGTTTTAACCATGCCCACTGTACACGTGCACTGCACATAGGGTTACATGCATTGATCTCCTGTGTATAGACTGGATAGGACAATGCGTCCAAAACGTGACCGTGACCCGCGTATGCGTCTTTTCAGGAGGGTAAATGACGAGCGTTGCGAATTTCGTTGCGTCTACTTTTAATTCAAAATGGAGTTTTTCAAAATCTGGTTGAGGATTTCGTGCTCCATCCAATCGTCAGAGTTTGTAGAAAAACTGAATTCCGCAACTGGAATGGATAAATTTGAAAAGAATAATGGTTGAGGTGTACGCAGCAGTGAATTACCGGAAATCAAGTCAAGTCAGGGTGTGAGCTCAACTTTTTAAGCTGATTAGTATATGAATGAATTCTATTTCCATTTTTCTCACTGGAAATTCAACATTGGGCCAGAAGATCACTTTTCGTTTCAATGTGATGGGGGTTAGCCGCGAAAAAAGTTTTCTATTCGCCTTTCCCCAAAGATACTCCTAAAATAATAGTAAGACTATGCCCTCAACTCTGAAGGTAGCCGCCCGCCTCTATCCACAATGGGCCCGCAATTTTGGGACTTCTTGTACAAGAAGTATCCGGACCTGGAAACTACCAGTCCAAAATTTGGGATTTATAGAAATATTTCTATGATCCCTCCTGATCATGGCATGTCTTACTGTAAAAAAAACCGAGGGATCACCAATTACTAATGAGCTTGCGCCCAGAATTCCAACCATTTGGTGAAATGCGTCCTATTACGACTGTGCTTCTCCCATATTAATTTGAAATAGCGCCCTCAAGCTTTGTGTTACATATTACATAGGTGTCCAGTCTTGTGTGTGTGACATTCAGGAACTAAATAGTAAAGCTGCATGTTTTGTGAGATTATGATCACTTTGACATTCTTGTAGGTCTGTCGTGTTTGCCGAATTACTTTTTGGGGGAGGGGTCTGGTTTTTATGCCCTCATCCCCC